AGGCCAACTGCCAGTTATCTCCCTCTTCCATCGCAAATTGCAAGAGTACGTTGATTTTTTGAATGTGAATACCAGATCTCTCTCGATGACGCCGAATATGTTATTCAACTACCGAGTCCAGGACTTCACCTGCGCGGTTGGAAAATCCTTGGTCACCGTCACTTCGAGACCACCTCAGCTATGGACTAAGCGATCGGTGGACCCATCGACACAAATTTCATCTGTTTATTGGCTGAGGCCCCTTTGTTTCTTTCTCGCAACAGGTGCGTCCTGTAACTACTGCACTCATCATGCATCCCACCCTTTTATTGCTGTCTGTGGTGCTGGATTCGAGTTTGAATCCGAAACTTCGGCTGAATAAATTTTTGCCGGCGATCGCATCTCCTCGCCTGTATCCAAGAACCTGTTCTTCCGCTTTTATTGGCAGACCGTAATCAGCTTGCGAAGCCGCGTCCAGTAAAATGGAATAAAATACACCCAAATTGGGGATCGCTGAAGATTTACTTCATGCGTCCCCTTGAAATGCCCTTCCTTTCCTCTCGGAACGACACTGCCGAAGTACAAGCAGTAGTAGTTCAATCTAAGCGAACACGCACGCACATAGACATCCACCAGACCAAATATCGCGTAACGGCAGCCTGGACAATTCCACCAGTATTTGCCTTCGTATGCGCAAACAGAGGACAGGCACAAGAAAGCCATCAACGCTTTGAACAACGATGTCCACTGTATGCCCCACAGCGCGGTGTGGGCAGGACGGTGATTTGAGCGTCTGCTGCACTCTAGCCCCTTCTCGCATTTGGGCCTGATGGCAAGACGAGGCCAGGATGGTCGTAGGCAGGTTCGAGTGCAGTGAAGGACAAAAATAGATGACCAATCTACGCGTCCCAGAGGCAGCCTATTCCGCACACGATGAAACAGGTTTTCGCAGGAGGAGGGAAGCAGTTCAGATCACATCTGATTGGCCACATTAAGAAGGAGTCATCGCAGCCTGATTCTCTGCCCAGTAGGGACCGAGTTATCCTGTCAGTTGACAGCCTTCCAAGCCATGACCCTTAACACACCAAAATCGTTTCAAAACGCCTTACATTGTTTATGATGAGGAGTGCGTTGGAGTGCCGTGGGGCTGCAGTCCTCAGAGGCAGCCTCAATCTTTCTTACCTCTCCTGCACATCAGTCCACTGTCCGAACCTGTCGGTCAGCTGGTGCTGAGATTGGACGCAGTGCCTGACAAAGCATACAGAACCCGCCTATGAGTGCCACACGCGACCGGTATGACACTGGGTTGTGCCGAGCAACACGCTTTCAGCTTACTTGAGAAGTGCATGTTCTGTGCATGTGGTGGATAATATTGGACGGGGTAACGGTAAGTTGTAGGACTCCACGATAGATTGCCAGCCGGTGGTCCGTATCCTACGGGGGTGGCGGCAATGGGAGTTTTACGGATAGTGCAGAACACGCTTAGGATGGAAGGTACAATTCAAGTCGGCACAGGAAATAACTGAACTTCGGCCGCAAAAATTAGCACGTGTCGTTGTATAACAACGGAGAGTTAGCATAATAATCAGAAAATAAAAAAGCGCTTTTTGAAAAATAATGGAGTTTGAACAGGCCTCCGATGGTAAGTTTGTATCCGGGCAGGCAGCCAAGGCGATTCCAACCTATAGGATCGGCGAACGATAAGTGATGTTTCCCCTCCTACGGTTTTTTGGCGTTGAAGTTTGAGTTGTCAGTGAATAAAAGCGAACCCAAATCAGCCAATCTCAGAATGTGGCACGAGGCCAGCGTAATGCAAATATTAACCAATATCGTTGTACGTTAATAAAGATGCCTGGTGGAAAGTGTTGGAAAATAATTAAAAGGTAAACTTGCGGAAGCATAATCTGTGTAGGGGTAACTGGGAACGTATATATTTAGATATAGGAAGATCCAAAGTAAATAAGCGAAGATGGCAGTGTAAATAGGAAATATTTATTAGGAAAGGGAATTTTGTAAGTTTTTATTCTTCCTCCTAAAATTACAGACCATCAGTCGCAGCAAACAGGAAAATCACACCACCCCACCCAGGCTGAAGTATGAAAACTGAATAAATAATAGAAGTTATTAATTTGGAAAAGATTGCAGAGTACTGCCGGAACAGAGTATTTATGAAACGGTACGAACCTGCCAATGCAGACATCGAATTCGGCTGCAGGTCAGGAAGCACAGCACGGACTAATATGCGTACCGGTGTGCATGATGCAGAAAGCGCTTAAAACCAGCTCGGCCTTTGAGAGAGGACGATTAGAGATCGGAACAATCATAAATATTTGGCTGGCACTTTTTCAGGGGACAAGGGCCGCTAAGTGCAGTGAAGATGCTGATGTGGTTCAGCCTGAACGCCATGGGGTTAAAGGAAGCATGGGAAATCTGCCTGTTGCATATTACGGAAGCCTACACAGCGCAGCAGCAGCCGGCATGGCCGAAGTAAATGAATCTTCATGTAAACTGTTTATCGTCGGACTGTGAATGAATGTCTGTACGCAAAGTCGGCTCAAGCCAACTGCCTTACAATTCCTTTGAGTTAGGTCCCGGTTATACACATTTTGAGTGCAGGGAAGTGTCTGCATCCGTCTGGTTACATGGAGAGAGTCGAGGTAGTATGACGCTTCTCGACTCTCTGAGCCAAGTTCAAGGAAAGTGATAGTCAACAGCAGAGTAGTGTCTGCAATGGCCTCTTTATATGGAGATAGCCGGGTCGGCGCGGCCGCTTCTCGACTATCTGAGCTAAGCTGAAGTCAAGTAAATGCGGACTGTGAGGTAGTATCCGCATCCACCTCCATACCGGCAAGAAACCGAAATGTTACAATCGCTCATGGACTCTGGACTAAATTGAAGGCATGTAATAGCTGAGAGCAAGGTAGTGCCTGTACTGGCCTCGTTACACGGAGTGTCCAATAGACAAACGTCTGTGCTTACTGAGACAAGACCAGTAGGAAGTCCTGTGTAGTATAACTTGCTTGGGGGTCGTACAACCTATCGTTACCTGCGACGAATTTGTATGTGGTGTATGGGTGGGTCTGACAATGTGTAATAATGGGGGATGGTATGTAGTGGCTCTACACCGCGTGCCTATTGCAACGCTGCGCCTCTCGTGAGTGCCTTCACACATGCACCAGCAACAGCCTGGTCTTGGCCCGCACACTTGGTCGCTGCCGACTTGTGTTGCTACCCCTCTCTCCGCCCCACGTTCTCGGTCGATTCGCTGTTAAGACCGCGCGAGGCTTATCATTAGCTTCGCAAGGGTTCGCAGCCAATCGACGCAGCTCCCTCGCCAATTGATTACGAAATGTTTGCTGACAACGGGGACACGATGGGAAGGGCTGGGTGTTGGAGATGTGGGTCCGCGGAACTTGAGACTTACGAGTGGCCCCTTTGGCTTTGGTGCTGGCAATCCGGCTGGGTTCGTGGATTGCTGCTCCAGTGTGCACCGGACAAAGTCCTACCAGATCTCTGGGTTGATTTGTAAATGCTTAAGGGGTGCCCTCATGGTGCCCTCGTGGCGTTATTTTGTTCTTGTCAGCGAGCAACAGTAATGGCGTCACCCTAGAAGAGCCGCTCGGCTTGGCGCTCGTCATTCATCTTTGCGAGGTAGCCGCTCCAACGCAGTTATACTCGTTCAGCACCGCGTGGATGCTGAGAATCCGGTCTGTTCCTGGACTTCAGTACCTCTGTCGGAGGCAGAAAAAAGCATAGCCACAGAATCTAGCGTAGGTATCTCTCCTAGTGTGGGAGTTACCGCGCGTACAAGAGTCATGTGGACGAGGAACCGGCGAGACACAGGTACGAAATCGGGTGTAGTTAATCCGATTCCATTTCACAACTTCCCGTATCATTATACGTTGATGACCACGAGGCGACCCAGCCCATGGATGTGGGCGCGAATGGTGGTTTGAAGAAGTGATCCGCTGGGTTAAGCATCTGCCTCAATCCTAGAGACAGACCACGACTTCGACTTCGTGGGTACACAGATAATAGCGCACGTCGCTAACAAAACAACGAGAGCTGCCGCGAAATGAACCAGTGGCAATAACTCCATTAACCAATATCTTGATTTTCAGTTGCTTATCACGTGCTACATAGGCGCTGCCGGATGGCGCGGCCTAGGTTCGCGGCAACTGTGCCCACGGTTGACGCATATTGTCAAAGCAGAAGCAAACCGCACTTTTTTACCACCCAAAAACTTAGGCGAATACGGTGACGGTTCCGGTAGTCATATACTTCTCTACCTCTTTTTATTTGCACCAATAATTGCTCCCGCTCAAGCGGCATCCATGCAAATTAAAGTTATTCGAAGATTAATCGTTTGTCTCTACTTCAAAGGTAAAGAGCTTGCTAGTTCAAAAAGTTTAACTAAAAGTGCAAACGTAGATGAAGTGTTTACAGCAGGATGTTCGAAAAGGTGCATTTTATATCGCTCCATTGACTCGAAAGTTTTGAAAGATTCCTAGGTTTCTTGCTTGGCTCTTAGAGCGATAGTGGTTTTCCTGAAATGCTCGTGAATCTTGCAGTAATTTCGGACGCCATGCATTGTAGCTGAATAATTGCCATCTAAGTGGAACAAACTTTCAGGGATTCATTTGATGGCAGTTGGACTAAGAGAGATAACACGAACTGTTTCGGCAAAAGTATGCAGGCCCGGCTAAGGTCACTCCTGATGAGGACAGATTAAATTTTAACCCGACCGAGCAAGCTGCCTTTCCTTTCGCCCACGTACAGGCTCCTCAAGCAGTAACAGTCGTCCTAACCTGCCAGTCGAAATTTTCATTGGCTTGGACCTACCATCTTGCATGTGTCTGATTGGTCGCTCGTTCTCTTCAACCGGACCGTCGCCTCACTAATCTGACTGACTACATTCACGGCCACAGTAACTGCCTTCAGCTGCGCTGACAGGCCGGCGGGCGCTAGTGGTTTATCGTCTAATTTCTGACACTCTGGGCTGTGTTTTCTTCCACACGAGAATGACGAACCTGATGAAGACGCGGATGCGAGAACTATGGAGAGCCATGAGACGAACAAAGGGTCTTGAAGTGGATCACTTAGAGACACCCCTCAATAGGTGTTTGAACGTCTTTGATCTCACTCTTTTGGGTCTAGGTAAGCGTTGGTGCTGCGTTTGCTTATTCAAGATAGGTAAATTTTCAGATGCATCCGTACTTTGGGCTTAGGATTTTACATTTACAGGTAAACTTAGGTGCAACACTAAAGGTATCAGATAAAAACAGGTCGGTGAAACGCTCTGTAGAACTCAACCTAAGATACAAATATTTATAACTGACAACTGAAAAAGAGAAGGTAGGAGTGACTCTTTAAAAATAAAAATATTAAGCCGAAAGCTAAGCCAATAATTTGTTAAGGAAGAAGTTAAGCTTGCCTTTAAGGGCAAATAATGAGAACAGGCGCCCCAGGCCAGCATTTTTAATGAAGAACTATCTGACGACGAAACTGAAATTTTTCGACGGCAGAATAATAAATTTATTTGCAGAAACAGACTTAATTATCGGTTAACCAACTAGGGAGGCCAACATTATTGAATGATATGTCAAATGAAGGCATGCAACAGGGACATTTAAAACTCGCCCTAGAGAAATTTTGTCTTGGAAGATGATGAAAAATGTCGTCTGACAAAAATGATGTCCTTCGGGGTTTACCTCGAAGCTATGTCCTATTTTCAAATTTTGTTTGCTTCAGGCAATATGGCTGGCTCCGGCGTATACGTTCTTACGGGTACGGTGATTCGCGATAAGGCTGGTCCCGCCACCTTTCTTTCCTACTTGATTGCCGGCGTAACCGCGTTTCTCAACGCCCTCTGCTACGCCGAGCTAGGCTCGAGGATTCCAAAAGTGCGTAGTTCTTAAACTCCTCTTGTGACTTGATGTTTCTTGAAACAGTACTTAGTAGATGTATTTATATTCAACCAATGTTTTTTTGTAAAGAGAAACTGTGCGTCCTCTGTAAAAAGTGAAAACTCGTTTGCCGTTTTCACTGGATAACTGTGATGTTAACTAAAGTCTGCAGTTACGGCTCTTTGACTGTCCTTTCTGATTAAAGGGAGCCGAAGACCTCAGTTTAGTTATTCGCAGACAACTTACTTATCAAAGATAAATGTCAAAATATGACAGAATTCTAGGGAGACCGGTTAGCGAGCCTACGCTTGCTTTCGATAAATTCTCGTCTGGTTTATACATTTACATGGTGACGAGGTCAATCAAAAACGTATGGATAACAAGAGAGGTCTAGCAATGTTTTAGTCTGCTAAAAAGTGGGATGTGGGGAGTATGGGAGAATAATTAGGGGGAATAAATAGCAGACTGATCTGATGGTGATAGTTAGTATGAATGGATGGTAGGTTACGAAGAGCAGAATTGAGCAACATCTACTACACTCCCACTTCCCTCACCAACCTAACTTCGATGACAAGACAATGTCAAGACAACCGAAGATGAACGTGGGCGCAGTGGCTGCCAAATTTAAACAATCAGTCTACGCGTGCCTCACACGACACGGTCGCCACTACATGTTTCAGACCACCATAAGAGCGACCTAAGTCGCATGTGGGGCGAGGAGGCCAAAAAGGCCTAAGTACGACGGAGCCACTGCGGCCTGGCCGTCAGTCTTGAGAAGGGCCGAGTCCTTCTATTAGTTGGCAACCTTTCGTGGCATAACTGCTAGTGTGTCGTGAAAGACTCAAGCGCCTCATATTCCCTCTGGTGACGAATGGTCCAATCTGTTGTTATGATGGACTCTCCAGCGTCGGCCTCTCTCTCCCTCTCCCAAGTCCGAGCATGTCAACCAATTGGTGGTGGACTTAGGTACCGTGATTGAGAAGGCTGAACAGACCGTTTACGCGTGCCACACACGATCTGGTCCTCACTTCATAAGCGAGGGTACTGTGGGGGCTGTCGTGTTAGGACCCACGTTGCGGCTCTGCTGTTACTTTAGGTTCGTGTATGCGGACAAATTAATGTTGCGCGAACTTACACTGATGAGAATACGCTGCCGTCAGTTGTCGCGCATGAAAATTTAACATAAGCGGCACCACCCGACAGTTCAACCGTCGTAGCCGGCGATGTCCACCGTGTGCTTCACAGCAAGGTGAAGCAGACACGGCGACTTGCGCGTGAGTTAGTCTATAGTAAATGTAGACTTGCGCAGCATCTGCCGCACTCTCTCCTCCCCAACCTGGACCCGATGTCAAGACACAGTCAAGAAGACCGGAGGCGGAGTAGGTGCAGACGGATGGCCCGGTCGAGACCGCACCTTGACGCTCCACTTCACATCCCCTGGTCCGCACAGCAAATAATCAGGTTTTGGACCAACAACAATACTGAGGGGACGGCAGGGGTCCCCGTGTACGCGACGTCTGTCGGCAACCGGGTCTGCCACCGCACCAGAAATGTTGGCATTTGGTATGGTGTGCAATCCGATAACGCCTGCCGGAATCCGATGTGGCCTCCGTGTTGGTCTAGTGCATCCTCCACGTGGCCCGTTTGGGTGGCAGACAGCGGCACCACCCAGGCCGATTCGCGCACTCACAACGTGGAGTAGCAACCTCTTATAGACAATGCACCACCAAGCGCCCGACGGACCTGATCGGTACTTCTACTTCGTCTCGCCGGGGCACCCAGCCGTCATGTATGGCTCCCAGAAGCTACGCTTTGCTTAGCGGTCACATTTCGGCAGACGGGCTTAACCAGATGAAGATGTCCGGCTGTGTATCTCTACTCCCAGTAGTCCCTGAACTAATCTGTATCCTCCCCTCTCACCCCCAAACAAAAATGTCTTACGAAGAGGGCGGCATTCAATCCTGTGGACCGCTCATATTAATTTGGGTGGTCCTCCCGAAAACGAAACTCGTGATCTGCAGTGGAGTTCAAAAGTCGCCTAGGATTAATAAATAGCCCCATTTAGAGATAGCACTGCATAGCCTTTAGCAGGGCAGGAAGCTAGATAATGTGCCAACAAAAGACACCGGTGATCTGACCATGGCTTGTGGACGCCAACTACATGGTCGGACAGCATAATAAAATAATCACCCTATCTCCATCCTCAAGGCTGTTTACAGGCTGACAGAATGAGACTGCTCATCAGGAACAACACCGCAGGAAGTCAAAGATCGTCTCATGACCTCGCGCCCGTCTCTTTACGGGAACAAATTTACCACAGTCGTCAGTTCCTACGTCTCCAGTAACCAGTTCCGATGATGTGAAAGCCAATCCAGTGCACACCCTCACGCCCACCTTGCGACTGTCCTTGGTAATTTCAATGCCCCTGTCGGCACTAGTCACACTTCCAGGAAGGGAGTGCTCGGTCGCCACGGGATCGATAGCTACGGCCCCAATGGCCCTCTCTTCCTGTGGCCTGTACAGAACGGTCCTCTTCTGGCCACTACCATCTTCCGCATCCCAGCCCCGAAGAAAAAGACGACGTAGATGCATCTTCGCTCGCGTCACTGGCATCTGGTGGACCATGTTATCGCCTGGAGGCGTAACCGGCGTGAAATATCAGGGACCAAGAAGACTTGTGGTATAAACTGCTGGACGGATCACCGCCTTCTTATCTCCAATATGGGGCTCCAACTGAAGCAACTTAGGCACCATCTACGCAAGTCAACGCAGGCAAGTTAAATACTGTTCTACTGGATACGGCTTATTGCCTAATATAAACTCCGGAAGAGAACGCCACAACTGACACTGACTGGGGGGGCCTGTGGTATATCATGCAGGCTATCGCCACGGAGGCCCTCAATTGCGCACGCCGTCATCACCAATACTGACTTACTGACAATGACAAGGTATCCTGCATTCTGATCTCCGAAAGGAATAAGCTTCGTACGAACTATGTCAACCACAGAACTGAAACTAGTAAAACTCCTTTCTGCGATGCCGAAGCCTGCTACAGCAACGAGTGAAAAATAAAAAGTGTCCGAATAACTCACAAGGCTAAAGAAAACCAAGGATTCGCAGACCTTAATGGACTAAGGAGCGTCGCGTCCACTAGGGCTATCTGCAGCCCCCAAACCAAGGGGGCTTTAACGCTGCTCAGTACCGATGAAACAACCGTCCTGGCGAAAAAATCCTAGATGCTGGAGCGCTGGGTTCAGCACTTTACAGGCTTCCTCAACCACCCATCCAACAGAACCACAAACGAATCTCTCAATTGAAAGCTTACCCACATTTTTACCGTCCGCTCTCGCTGCAAGAAACCATCAAAGCTACACACCAGATGTCCAGCAGCAGATCACCAGACGCGGACTCCTTTGGAAGTGAACTCTACAAGCATGTCGGCCTTTGGCTGGTGGACAAATTCATCTGACATTTCCAGGAAATGTGAAGACAGTGAAAAGTCCCCCAGGACTTCAAGGACGCCTCCGTCGACCACATATACAAACGCAGATAGAGCCGGCAATTCTGTTTTGACCACAGGAACATCTCCATCTTTGAGTTCACAAATAAAATCTTAGTCCTAGTTCTACTCGATCACCTACATCCTCACCTAGACCAAGGACTCTTCCTCAAGGTCAGTAGGAATCTCGAAAGGACAGCGGGATCATCGACATAATCTTCGCTGCCCTCCAACTATGAGATAACTGTCAAAAATGTGGATCAGGCCGTATATCACCTTCGCTGATTTGACAAATGGCCTCGATGTGGCTAACCGCTAGAATTCAGGTGTCCGGGGCATTTTGCACAGATAGGACGACAGTTCTACGTCGCGTCACTGACAACGGGCCAGTCTCTAGAGCATTTAAAGTGACTCATAGGATAAGGCAGCGCTGTGTACTCGCGCTCCCACCCTCTCCAATTTCATACTCTCCGCAATACAGACGGACGCCCGCCGTGAGAAGCGGCCAGGAATCGACATTGCTTGACGGACAGTAGTTCAACATCCGATGCATTCAGACGATATTCGAGTCTGCACAACCAGTGTTCATGATCTCCTGTTCAGGAATGATCACACGCTTAACCCAACGACGCAAGCCTACATGCAGCGGAGCAGGGCCCTTTTTACTTCCAGCTGCAAAAACTTCTGATTTACCATCGACAGGGTGGAAAAGGTGGTTAAGTATCATTCAGCACCCCCTGATGAGTACAATTCGCCCAGGATCAACGTGAGTGGAACCGGCTTCGTATCTGGGAGCAAATTTTACTACCTGACAGTACAATCTCGAGAAACAGAATAATTGACGACGAACTTGGAAGTCGGGTCCCCAAAGCCAGCCTAGAATTCAGTGGGCTACAGTACCTTATTTAGAAACGTCGCAACATCGTCCCTAACACAGCATTGAGGACATACACGGTCTTTATACTCCCATCGCACTTATAGGAGACGGAAACGTGCGAAAAATAAACAAGAAAACTCATTTCTCCTCACTCCAGCTACATTCGGAGAATAACTAAAGGCAAAGTTGTAGGAAATGTTTCCAGACACCTAGATTCTCAGTATGCGCGACATGGCGTGGCAGATGCAACTGTACTGGAGCGGTTATGTCGTGAGGATGGATGAGGAGTGCCTGTCCAAGCAACTATCGTACTTCAACGTTGCTATAGGTGCTCGCGAACAAAGCGGACATAGGCGCTACTACAAGGAAACCCTGAGAACCCCCTCAAACACCTGACGGTTCGACCGTCGTTACAGACGATGTCCACCGTGTGCTCCAGAGCAAGGTGAGATCAGGCACGGTGACTTGCGCGTGAAGTAGTCTATAGTGGTAGCAGACTTGCGCAGCACCTACCGCACTCCCTCCTCTTCTGCCTGAACTCTGCGTCAAGACATGGTCAGGAAAACCGAGGGCGGGAGAGGACGGAGATGGCTGGCACGGCCGGATCCACACCTAAGCGTACCACCATCACCATCACCACCACACCCTCTGACCACGATTTTAACCAGCAACAATAATGGGTCGGAAAGAGAAGGATGACACAAATCACTGGGCAACCGCGCACACGATCTGTACACCCAGCGGGAGCGCAGACGCATCAACCGACAGGGAACCAGGTGCTAGAGAACTGTCAGCGCACACCAGGCTGAAAGGACCAAGGTTTGCTGAAGCATGCCCTAGCAGACGCACAAAATCCGGAGGCCCAGAAGGGTGAGACGCAGCCCTGCATTTAGCCTGGGCTGTCACCCTTCAAAGGCCGGTTAACCAGTCAGTCATTGATTAAGAGGCAGTACCCATATATACACACACACTCCTCATATGCGTCAGAAAACCAGAGGTCACGTTGAGAAGTAGCCGCTGCAACCTGACTCTCAGCCCATCAGTCCGCTACTCCACACAAACACAACTGGTCTGACTGCATGGACTTATTTGAGGCGTCAGTTGGCAAACTTCCAAGCCATGGTGTTTGGCGCACCGTAATATCCTTAGGCTCGGATCACACATGCAGCCGAGGAGCTGCATTGATAAGGAGCTGAGAAGCACACTTCCCACCTAACTGGGAGGTACCAATTGTGCGGTTGTGTACTGTTCTGAGATATGCTTTTGGTGTGTGTTGCGGATGTTCGTCAGGAGAGATGTGATGGTGTGGTGAGTCCCGACATACACTCATCACTCTGTTTCATCTGTCCACACTGTCCCAGAACCTTCGGCTATCGCATGATTCTGTTCAGCCTTATGCGTCTCTATGCAAATCTCTGGTAAGACAACCGGGTCCAGACCTTGTCACAACACTTCACCCTCCTTGCACACGCACACACATCCCTAAGCTACACATGAGCCTGCTTTATAAAGCGCGCGTACGCGTCCCCTCTGCGTAATAGGGTGTAGGGGTGTTCAGTTGTGAGCCCACGTGGTGGCCGTAGTAGGTGGCTCACTTGCATTCATTTGCTGATTACGCTTAGCGTCCATTAACTGGCACCTAGCTCTCCACTGCGGCTCCTCGAGGCTAGGCTCTGCCTAGCGGCCACGCCCCGGTATCTGTTTCGACCGGTGGGCTAAACCAAGCTGAGGGAATCTGACGTGTGTGTCCCCACACCGGTAACGCTGCTTCCTCCCCCATCCCTATTCCCGCACCCTTCCCCCTCGCCTCCCTCGCCCCCATCTCCCTCCCTGCCTCCCCCGCACTTCAAAAGTCCTACGGGGATGACCAGGACCACCGCCTCATAAACCCTAAGATGAGACTTCGTTTGCCACCTCGCAGAAGGCCACAAGGTGAGCGACCGCCAGGCAAGTTAAATACCCTTCCGTCGAATTTGCCTGCTCACCGTTTGCATTTCAACGATCAGATATCTCAGAGAGGGCGAAGGTCTCCGGTGCTGTGTGTCTCCACACCCCATATGCCTGCTCCCTTCCCCCCTGCCACATTCCTACCCCCGAATTTAGTGAGGACCCTCGGAGCTGTGTGTGTCGCCACGTCCGGTGTGACCCCCCATACTCACACCCCTCCCTCCCCCATTTCTCCTTCCCCGTCCCCTCCCGCATTTCCCCTCTCCCTCCTCCCACTCGATTCTACTCTCTTCCCCCATGATCGAAAAGTCCTACGGCAGGGACGACATGCAATCGCGGCGGCGGCCCAGGTCAATCGGGTCGTTCTCTCACCAAACCAATCCGTGACCCATAGTGGATTTCGGCAGCCCTCTGGGACGACTTAGTAGCCCTATTTAGGGACATCACCGCTTATCCCCGCGAGGGGGAGGGGACTAGAAAAGGGAGAGAGGAGGGAGTGCAGCAGATGCTGCGAAAGTCTACTCGCACTAATTCACACGCAAGTCACCTTGCCCGCTTATACCTTGATGTGTTGCACACGGTGGGCATCGAAGGCAACAACGGTTAAACGGCCTGCGTAGCACGCCACGCACCACTCTTACAGCGAACACACGTCCCACATTGCCATCGCCAACACAGAAGGTTCAACGTCGCTATTAGGCACATGCACATTTTACTTACGCGGAAGCATGCAATTAAGTGTTGCCTGGTACAGTAAGTGAGGACCAGGTCGTGTGTGGCACACGTAAACGGTCTGTTCAGCCTTCTCAATCACGGTACCTAAACCCACCACCAATTGGTTGATGGGCTCGGACTTGGGAGAGAGAGAGACCGACACCGGAGAGCCCATCCTAACAACAAATTGGACCATTCGTCACCAGAGAGAATATGAGGCGCTTAAGTTTTTCACGACACACTAGCAGTCATGCCACGAAAGGTTGCCAACTAATAGAAGGACTCGGCCCTTCTCAGGACTGACGGCCAGGCCGCAATGGCTCCTTCGTACTTAGGCCTTTTTGGCCTCCTCGCCCCACATGCGACTTAGGTCGCCCTTATGGTGGTCTGAAACATGTAGTGGCGACCGTGTCGTTTGAGGCACGCGTAGACTGGTTGTTTAAATTTGGCAGCCACTGCGCCCACGTTCATCTTCGGTTGTCTTGACATTGTCTTGTCATCGAAGTTAGGTTGGTGAGGGAAGTGGGAGTGTAGTAGATGTTGCTCAATTCTGCCTCATGATAAATTTATTCACGCGCAAATCCCTGGTGCTGCGCTCACTCTGTGGATCACGCGATGGTCACTGTGGCTTGTGACGGTCGAAGTGTCGTCGGACATCCTTGAATTCACAAAGATTCCCGCCTGCCTTCTGTTTTCTGTGTCCGAGCTCGCCCTCCAGCACAGTCATGGCATCCGGGTCGATGACGGCCCCTTTCAGTCCAGCAACCCATTTAAGTCTGGCATCTGCCTTCTGATGAACATGCACGAGAAGGGTTACCTTCCAGCTAATTCCTTCGCTTCAGGTGCCTTCAAAGAAGATGTTACTGTTTTTATGCCCTTAATAACTGGAATTATCGCCAGTTTGTATGTTGGAATTTAAATCTTATTTGATTTATTCCTGAAAGAAAGTTGCCTACAATTTACTATTTTGGCTTCGGAAACAGTTCTACTCATGTTGAAACACTAACGCCTTCAGTAAGGGTTTAAGAAATGGCTCTGTCATCGTCATCCGAGCATTCCATAACCTCTGATCCGAAAACCTGATGTTTAAACTCTAGTGGACTGTGACTATCTGTCACTTCGCTCACATGCCCATGCTCAAACGACTGCAATTTGAAATATTTAAGCGCACTTAGACCGTAGCCTTCACCGATCCGGCTTGATTTCAGGAGTGGTTACGGGTGCTCTATTTCCTTTCAAGCTACTTCGTTTAATTCGATTTTTTTACAACAATTCTTAAGTCACGAGTGCAAACATATAGTTCCTTTCATTTAGAACATTTTTCCACATAATAACCATTGTTATACGGTTATAGTGGCGTGTTAGGTCTTCGTTTGGCAAATTTTGAACCAGCATCGTTTTTTCTTTCACCTTGGCTTAAAACAATCCACCGGATTCGTATTCCCTCACCATCTTCAGGCCGGTTCCGCCTACGCGTACACCTACATTGCTAGTGGAGAGTTCATGGCTTTCTTGATTGGCTGGTCCGTCATCCTGGAATATGTTTTGTCGGTGGCTAGCGTAGCCAGAGGCTGGAGCGGTACCATTGACGCCATGTCACAGTCAACAATTAGCAACGGAACAATCTCAGTCTTCGGAAGGTAAGTCCTTGGAAAGGCAGGTATTCCTAAATCTAGACTAAACTTAGTCCAATATCCAACATGTCATGCTGTTAGATAGATGCCCGTTCGCATCAGTTATGACCGCTGGCATGGAAGGATCGCCTCCCGTGTTATCCGGTCAAGCATAAAATAACACCAGATATCAACCATTAGGCTCAGACCTGGTTTATTCGTTTAAAGCAAGCTAAACTGTTAGTGATTTCACTCTTCTGAAAATTCTTTCCTCCACGTGCGCTTATTGGATCAGTCTTTGTCAAATTGACAGTCCAACTAGCAATAATTTTAGGAGGAAATTTGGGTAGTAAACTACTTCTACTCATCAACCTCTCTTTTTGGTCCTTTTCCCCATGGAACAGATTTCCGGGCAATAATGAATTTCTAGGCCAGTATCCAGACTTCCTCGGAGCTGGCACTGTCATTGTATTGGGCCTCGTGCTCAGCTGTGGCGCAAAGCTGTCCGCCCGTGTCAACTCCGTAGTCACCATTCTGAACCTCAGTGTCATTCTCATCGCCACTATCCTCATGTTCTCCCTGCCGAACCCCGAGACGAACGGGATCGCACCCATCTCACACGGTGGATTTCTGCCGTACGGGTTCGGTGGGATGATTGCCGGAGCAGGCACTTGTTTCTACGCCTTCATCGGATTTGACGCGATCACAGTCAGTGGAGAGGAAGCTGTGGATCCCCAGCGTTCCCTGCCGATTGCAACAGGGGTCTCAGTTTCTATGATCACTATCATCTTCGTCCTGGCTACAGCCAGCCTGAGCCTCTTTGTACCCTGGTGGACTGTAGACCGACAGGCGGCCTTCACGGCTGCCATGCGTGCCCGGAATGTGCAGTGGGCCACTTACGTAACAGGAATTGGCTCACTATTGGGCATTGGAGCCAGTCTGTTTACCAGCCTGTACGCCATGCCAAGGATAGTCTACGCAATGGCTGCGGATGGTCTCCTTCCAGATTGGCTGGGATACGTTCTGCCCTCGACTCGGGTAAGTTGCCCCTTTGACAGCTTTCAAAGATGATCACTATATAGGTTATTTTCCTATTTGACTGTGGCACCCTAGCGTCAGCGTGTCAGGAATGGGTAAAATCGCAGTTGGTAGCCAGACAGTATACGCTGATACTGTCGACGTACGTACTTGTTATCAGTAGGTGCGCTTACCTTGTCTAGGGAAATTGTTGTCAGTAGGAGTACGCTTACTCAGTTAGGCAGGTCGCCCGTTTCGGGAAGGCTATTGGGTTTAGTGAGGGTTAGGGTGAGGCGTAGGTTAATTTTTAGGATTAGGGTTTGTGTTTTAGGGTCAGGTTTCAGTGTTAGGGTTAGGGTTTAGGTTTCCGTTAGAATTACGGTTAAGTTTAAGGTTAGGGATAGGGTAAAGGTTAAGGTTAGGCCTAAGGTTAGGGTTAGAGTTAAAGTTAGGGTTAGGCTTGAATTTAGAGTTAGGGTCAAGGTTAGGGTTAGGGTTATGGCCAGGTTTTGAGTTAGCGTTGGGTTTCAGGATTTTGGTTACGTTTCGGTTTTGAGACTTATGGTTAGGCTTTATGGTTGCGGTGAGTGTTGTATTTTAGGGTTAATTGCAGGGTTTAAATTTCTGCCGTTATTCAACCTACTTATAACTTCAGATCACTTTCATGGTAAATTTGCTTTTACCCAGAGACTCCAGCATCCCTCTACCAGCCCTTCCACTTCCCCTACCCATATAACCCCCTTTCCCATCATTCCCGTACGACAGGGTCCTGGCTGTCCGCCTCCCCATTCCTGACTACCAACTGCGATCTAACCAGGAATGTTATGATTTTTGGGTAAATAACGAACTTTTAGGGATTTCTAGGCGGTAAGACAAAGCCCACCAATCTTCCCTCCTCTGGCATAACGATTTGCTCAAGGAGTTACCATCTCTCCGATTATAAAGCCTCCGCTCGGGGCCATTAAGTCTTAGAAGTCCCAGCCATTGTACGTACGGCATAACCCCTGGTCGCTAAATTGTTCCTTTTATCTGCATCTCACCGGACATCGATTGACTGGAGTGGATTGGCAGAAGAATGTTTTCCTTTTTTATTTGGATTGGAAAGTAAACGCCCCCAGCAACACTGTGTCGGTGGCAGATGAATCCATGTCTGATGGCGAGCATTTTTTTCCATGTCACAATACCTTCATATTTCGTGACATTTTTATAGGTCATCGATTGTCCAGATCTGTGGTCAGCCAATTCTGATATTTTGCTGTTGCGTGGTCCGCGAATGCTTATTCTAGTTGGCTTCAGCGGCTGCGTGCTTCGCAACTGACCTTCGATGAAGGCAATTCCCCAATACAGCACGCATGGACGCGACAGTTAAGCCGCAGCCTTTGACAATCGGGAGTAAACAATAGAACGAAGCCACTCGCAAACAAGCGGCGTTCTGTAATTAACAACAGTCAAAGGAATTATTGTATAAAGACTGAGTGGTCTGGAAAAGGCAACCGGAGTGTGGGAACGAAACTCGGGCGTAGGTGTTAGTGTGAATATGTTCACAGCCCTAATGTAAATTAATTTGTGGACGGACGACTGCACGAGCGCCTGAGGGCAGCTCATCCGTTCGCACCTTGCGCTAGACGGCCGCTTCGTCCTAAACAGAGCACTGGCGCATAAGTAGAGGCCTTTAACACGGCCCAACGAGAGTGGCCTCTTTAATGTCTTTTATCTTCAGAAGTTGAATTTTCGCCGGGTTTCTATTCACCGCGCTATGAGAGCACATTCATGGATGCCTTTTGGGACACGAGAATTTTTTTCAGAAAACTTGCGTTTACGGAAATCCAAATGAATAAACATGTATAATTAAAAGGAACCGGTCAATTACTTTATGAAGAATGTAAAGTCCTTCCACACCAGCAACATTTTCCCCTGCTAACTATGCTTAATCGTCTGTCTACCGAGTAGTTCACTGCGTTTTTGCACACATCTGACCAACTATACGCCTTTCTCACCTCACAGCCCCCCACTGACAAGCGGTATTGTCGTTGTCAGCATTCGTTCGCAGGTCCCGAGGATACTTATTCAGATGGAATAATTAATTTCGCAGGATGTCAAGTAATCGGCCTTCATAGTGCACAATGTTAACTTCTTTTGTTCATTAATAAAAGCTCAGCTACAAGGAAAAAAGGTGCTCAGACTAAACCAAGAATATCAATCGAAAATTCAGTCAAATTACGTCTCAAAACCTGTCGATTGTTCACATACTCATGGCTTTTGCGAAACCTCAGCCACCAGAAAAAGCCTTTGTATGTTCTCTGATGCTCATTGGCCAGAGCATCTGGGCTGGTCAACGTCGTGCTCGTAGGCAGTCAGATGCAACGGTCGATGCACCCACAAGCAGCAGCTGGAAAACCGGCAACAGCCCATACAGACTGGGCAAGTTTAGTCTCTGCTTCTATAGAACGGAGACCTGAGATAGATCTAACGTTACCATAAAATTTTGCTACAGTTTTGCAAAATAAATATGACTAGGATGTGACGGGAGACAATTCTAAAAGCACGCAAATAAAGACTCCTTCTTGAGATCGTGCCAGTGTCGTTCGCTTTCCTGCACCCGTTACCGAGAGAATTTGCACGTTTAATATTGGGTTAAGCGCATTTACTTGTCGTTGAGCAGATAGGCATATGGCTTGTAAGATGAGCAGAATAAGGAAGAGGATGGTCCTTAGGTTAAGCTCCTCCAAAGGATTCCTTCGAATGACAATCAATATTAAGTACTAAATTCTACGAAATTTCGAAGGGCATCACATGCAGGTAGTCTTTATGGTTAGAACACTCGGACATTTGCCTGGGAATATGCTTATATTAAGGATTTTTAGGAGCATAAACAAATGGAGGGTTGGAAGCTGAGTTGCAGCAGTAAACGAAATTACTTGAGGCCGAAACTTGACTCACATTATTTGTGCAAGCCAATGTGGCTTAATTCGCTAGTTTCAAAAGAATGGGGTTTCGTTTGTTTTAATCATCTTTGGACGCGGCCGCCGTTGAAATTTTTTATTTTCCGGCGATAAATGAATCAACATATTCTGACACCACGTCTCAAAATGTTTTATTGAATCCGATAACCCAGTCAGGAGTGGGTTTCAGTACATTTTTGCTTAGTCGACACACGTCGGGTTTTCGCATAACAACAACACTTAGAGCGGAAACCTCGGGAAAGGGACCTGGTGTAAGAGGGGGCCGGATTCGTGTTCTCATGGAAAGATATCATTCTATGATCTAGGTTTTTAATAAAAAGTGAATAAAATCGTTTTTGAAAACTCGGCCATGACCCTCTCCATCCCAGTTTAGTCCAGAACTAAGGTGGGGGGCTTGTGCTAGCGGGGTACTTTTGTGTATCTATGGACAGATTTTATTCTTTTAATCTAGGTTTTGGATTTAAAAATGGATAAAATGATTTTTGGAAATTGCTTCGCTCATTTGTAGACCACATTCTCGGTCATAACCGATGCGAAAATAAACACGAGACGAATACCAAAATGTGGTTTGCTTAAGAGAAAAGGCAGTTAATAAATAAACAACAGCACGAGTTCAAAAGCTAAAAATAATAAAGAAATTCAATTTGACCCACTTGCGAGGATTTCTGGGACCTCAGCGGGATTCAAACATATGACGCAGCGACAAGGCCCGTGTATACCCAGCGCTCTAGCCACCTGAGCTACGAGGGCAGCAAGGGAGCTATAATTTTAATTATATGTGGGTCAAGTTACCCGCCCAGCCTACTCTAACAAACGGAATCCATCAAATCTAAAACAGTAAGCTGACGGTCCAAGAAGGATTTCCTGGGTACTCAATCTAGAATCCACCGGCTATTAATTACGCTAGCCTGGTAGTCATCTAGTGGATTCTAGACTGATTACTTAGGATATCCTGCTTGGGCCGTCAGTTTTTTGTTCTAGATTTGGTGGATTCCATACGCTGCAGTAGGCTGGCGGGTAACTTTACATAAATACAATTAAACTCGCGACTTCCCGTGCGTCCTCGTAGCTCAGGTGGCTGGAACGTTGGCTGCACTCAAGCTATCCACCTGCTCTTGTGGTTTCGAATCCAACCTATGTCGCCTAGTTTTCCACGGTCGGGCCAAAATGAATTATCCAAAATCTGCCAAAACATCAATTAATAAACAAATTGTTTCAGTGCTCGACCAGTATTCTTCTTTACTCACATATATATACACGTGGAACTCAAATATTCGCCTGCATCCGTGAAAAATCCGGACAGTGTTCGCTTCGGGCAGCTCGCAGTTGGGACTACCATACGAGAGACAGAAACATACGAACAGCTAGTTTTTCTGCATAAATGCCTCCAAGACGAACTGACACCATGATGCTTAAGATATAAGACTATCGTTAACACGGCTATGGGCGGAGAAGTTGCAAGGCGTTTAATGAAGCAGATGAGGACAGCTCTGATCGATGACTGTTACAGAATACAAAATTAAGATCGAGCAGAACAGAGGGGCGTGTCCGCATGTATGGTTTGTCGTGCCGACAGTAGGGAGTATGGCAGAGGGACGCTCATCGATTGCGTCACGGAGCTCACTCGTCCCGTTGTGTCTTGACGCTCTCTCCTCGGCCTCGAAAGCAGCCGCGCAAGGGCTACTGCTAATATAGGCCGAATAACACTGCCGACAAGGAGAAGGGGGACTGGAATGGTCACTTCTGGCCCATTAACCATCGTCAGCCAGACACACCAAATCCCGAGGTGGGCAACCCCTTGGGGCTCAGTGGTTAGGGCGTTGGACTTCTACCTAACAGGTCGTGCGATCGAGCCCCAGGGGCTGACCACCTCGAGGTTGAGTATGGCTGACTGACGACAGCTAATAGGCCAGAAATAGCCATTCCAGTCCTCTTAGTCTGTCGGTAATGCTAGTAGGGAATATGTCTACATTCTTGGTGATTCTATTTCTGAGGATCTTAGGAAGGCTTTGGCACATCAAAGAAAAGCTAAGAAGAGATACGTTTTGGAACAGAAACCAAATGAAAACCAACAAAACATGGAAGGCTGGGATTTGATCCACAACCTCTCGCCTAAACAGCTAACGGATCAGCAGCTACGAATGCTACGGTACGAAGATTGTTTTAGCACCGCAGATGCCGACCCGGTCGAATTCAATGCCGTCGCGGAAGCTATGCTTGTACGAAATGAAGCAACCAACGACAAGAAAACGCCGTCCGACAACGTGCTACCTCCTTGCTGGTAGCGCACAGACCAATCAAATACACCTCGCGGCGTGAGCCAAAAGATATGAGGGAACTGAGGATGGACGGCAAAATTATTATACTTTTCACTGACAATAGGTGAGCAACTGTCGTTAGGAACCGACAAGGCTGTAATGAGAAAGCCGAAGCCCTTTTTGATGACAGAAAATGTTGCTGACCAGCACAGAACTCACAAGTCGTGGCAGTAGCAGGCCTGTCGAACAAAAGACTTAGAGAATACCGATGCAAAAAGTGTGATCACGGGGAATGAATAACCCCAACGGCCACTGCTCTGGCTCAATTTCATGGTCTGCCGAAGATCCACAAACCAAATGTTTCAGTGCGATCGATCGTTGTTCTCAAAGACAGTCTCACGTATAATTCGGCAAAATGGATACGCTCAAAACTCGAGTTTCTCCAAAGCAATTCGTCTGCACAAATACGATCAGTCTCCCATTTCCTTGTTTACCTTCGAGGCTGAAGGATCCAATCGGACGAAATCGCAATCTATTTCGATGTGAAATCGTTATTAACATCCGTCCCACTGAATTTCGCGAACGAAGTCGTGCGCAAGAGACTTGAAGGGACATACGATGAGACTTAGCGTTTTCTCAAAGGTGAGTACCTCATGAGGTTGTTGGAGTTCCGCCAAATAACGTACTTCACCTTTACTGGAGAAAGTGATGATCGGATCAAGGGACTTTAGTGCTCTCCCCGGTCTCCGATTTAATGACGAAATGGGTCTAAAAGAGATAAAAAATGCTGTCTTCATCCCATATGAATCGGTGTTTTAGCGTTGTTGTGCTTGCGACACGTTTGCCATAGTCAGGATGAAAATGCTGGAGAACTTCCGTTATCTGCACAACGCAATATTTTCTGATGTCAAATTCACGAGGAAAGGAGAATAGGAGCAGCCACTTCACTTCCTTGATGTGCTCGCCAGGTAAAATGTATATGACGGTTAACTAGAAGGCAACGAACGTCACGTAACTTTCAAGTTTTCACAGAAACCATCCGGTGACTAGCAAACGAGTGTGTGAGAGTGCTCCTCAAACGGATTCAGACGCATTTCAGCGAGGTGCGAAAAAAGAACACGAGATCCGATATCTCTACGATCAATTTATGTGTAATGGCTACCAGAAAGCGTTCATAGGCCGATGTCCGCGTGCTCGTTGTGAGGGACCCAAATAGAAATGCCACCAAGTTTATGACATGCTCTGCCTTACATTAAGGACGAATCAGAAGCGACCGAGCGCACTACTGTAGAACTAAGTGTTGAAATTGCACACCGGCCCAAAGTTAGCTGCCACGACAGGGTCATGAAAATCAAAGACCAGCTAAACCCCAATTAGCAGTCTGGGGGTAGAGTATCGCATTCCGCGCCTGAACTGTCTTCGTAACTATGCAGACCAAACTGAACGTATACTCAGATTGAGCATGCGCGAACATAAGCTGGCTGTGTGAAAAGGCGGCGAATTATCGCTAGTGGCTAACTGCATCTTCGAGACGAGTCAATAGTTTAACCTCACAGTCACCAAGATAATCACCCACGCCAGAAGGAAGAGAGGGCAGGAAGGGATTGACCAGAATCTCGGATAAGAACTCGACGAACCGATTTTTGATCTGGCACCGGCATATAGAGCTCTGCACAGTTCCCTCCAGACCTGCGTCATTGATCGTTGTTTAGCTAGCGCCTCCTATAACCGCTACTTCTTCTGTTCCTCCTACTATCGCTGACGATGTACTCCTGCACAAGTTAGAAAGTTCGGAATAATAAATAAATTGTTCCGATGCTCGACCAGCCTTCTTCACTCATACATACACCCGAGACTCGAACATTTGCCTCCATCCGTCGACTGATAACTTGTTGCGCAGATCACGAATTACATAAATTATTGTAGGCCGAAGGAAATGTGATTTAAGTTAAATGTTGATAAGCTCGGTGACGATTGAACATGTAGCCCAGCGTTCTTATTTGTAAGACATGTCTGCTTGTTTGATTTTTGTAGACATGTCACATAAGCACTACGTTTCCATGCCAGCTTAAGGAAATGATCAACTTCAGGGTTTAGGTCAAGGTTAGGCTTAAGGCTAGGGTTAGGTTCAAGATTAGGTTCAGTGGAAGTGTTGGAGTTGACGTTAGGGGTAGAGCTAAGGTTGCCCGCCGCATGCATCCTTACCCAATTCGGCCCCCATTAACTAATAACCTTGGATTATCCGTTCCTAGCTCCTTTACCCGCCCTTAATTCACATCTTTCAATTTCCGGGTCTGTCCTGTTTCCTTACTGGAGTAATAAGACAAACGTATGACAGAAATGCGAGTTTCCCGGCGCCTTCTGCAGATTTCGTTATTTTCCGTGTCTGTCTGCCCTACTGATAAAACTTCTTCTAACGCCCCGCCCCCTGAATTTCGTAGTCCCTGTGCCCTGTTTTATCAGTGGACTTACTTATTCAATCCTTGCCGGTAGTCAAACGCATTGCCAAATATGCATCGTCAAACCTTTAGCAAAACGCTACGATTTCTTGCTGAGACGAAAAGGAAGAGAAACAACTTATAATAAATTTTTATTAATAGATGTTCTTACAGATTTGAATAATTTACTTGATCTGCTTGTGAAAAACTAGGCGGCCTCGGGAGGGGGACGTTGTAGCCCAACATAGCAAGGGCGAAGTTGGAGTACAACCAACGTCCTAACTATCTGAGCTACGAGGTATCGACCGGTAGTCGTGAGCCTGATCACACTTAGGCCAGTTTACCCGACCAGCTTACTGCAACAGATGGAATCGACCGACTGATGCTGTAAGCTAACTGACTAAGCAGAAATTCCGAGGCATTCAGTGCAAAATCCACCAGATTAATGTCGGGCGCACCTGATTAATCGGTATTTTTGGCATATTTGAATAACTGTTTTGACCTAAGCCTTCTCCCGGGCCTCTATCAAACCGACCGATTGGGTTTAAAGCGTTTAGAGAAAAAAAGTTGCAAGTGACCTTTGCACAAACCATTTTATCACTCATCGATTGGAAGAACTTAAATGGTAACAAATTAAGCAAAGTCAGCCAGACAATCGATTTGCTGCAGAACCGAGATACCCGATGGAAAGGCAGGATTGACGAGTGAATAAACGTACGTCATAATGTGGAGGTCGAAATTCGCCCCTGGTTTAACGAGCGTTTTTGACACGGCTGTCATGATGACCTATATCCAATGGTGGCGCATCTAACCTTTCTCTTCAGCGTCCGTTTTTCTAGGGTTTTCTGAAAGGTCACTACGTTAGTGTACATCTAGAGGCTCTCAGTCGTAGTCACTATCTAAACTATCGCGTTCCCAAACAATGAAGGCGAGGTAGAGAGAACAAACTTTAATGTCAGAAGAACGCACAGATGACCGTAAGGGGACTTTGGCTACTGTCCTGACCGATATGAGCCAGAAGCGCGATCAGGTCCTGCTAACGTTCGCCCAACTAGCGGTTTGCGTCGCTGCACCCTGGTATCGGTGAGAGCTGTTGACCAGGAAGGCACTGGCGCCTGTGGTCAAAAACGTTGTTACTCTCACAACGATGACAAGCCCGAAAAGGGCGTCCACTGCTTCATAGAAGAGCTCTGCTACGTACTCCCTACTCTACAGTATCTTATGGAGGCTCACTTGTCAAGTTGCTGGAAAGCTGAAAGCCGGAAAACGCAGCAAATTGCAAATGAGTGCATTTGGTGGCATTTCATGCCGGCGTTGAATACAACTAGAAAAAATTACGGTACTAAACCAAGGGTGACGGCCGTGTTCTACAAACATCGAAGCTGATAGTGTGTCCTTCTGTTGATTGTTCTGTCAAAGATATCAGATACGCGATACGGTTTCGAACGATCTTGCTTACATTCTTAACAAAAATACGGTAAGTGGTCTAAACAGGGGAGTGAATGTCGCTGTCTTTCAGGCGAATTTCGAAATCAAAAGTCATCTCCTCTTCTATGCAGGTCCCAGTGGTAGCCATGGCACTCTTTGGCGGCATGGCAGCCGTTTTGACCTTCCTCTGCGATATCCACACGTTGGCAGAATTTCTGAGCATCGGAACTCTGATCGCTTACACGATTGTCTGCATGAACGTGTGCATCCTCCGTTACCATCATACGGAGACTGTCTCTACGGGTGAAGCTGCAGACTTAGCTACTCAAAAGGAGGTGAGATATTTATCTATTGAAAATAGTTTTTGTGCAGACCAGCCGGTCCGGTCTTACAAGACTCATGCGTCTGCTATAAATATCAAACTGCTTTTCCTTGGTGACGAACTGCGTCGCGACCCTGACTCTTGGAATCATTTAACATTCGCGTGGAACAAGCTAACTTGCATGATGAATAACATCTTCCGTCAATGAATAGTTGAGGTGTTCCATGTTCAGCCACATCGTTCTTTCCAGGGATTGCAGGGGTCTAGACGTCAAGGCCAACCACCACCAGCGACCGATCCATCATCAAAGAACTTTGTGACGTGAGAGTGTTTATCAACTCGTTGGCACGCACTACAGTGAACCGGAATGAGGGGTATTCAGATCGACTGGGTGCTCGAACAGTGCATTCACAACCGAGATGAAGACACAACTGCGACAGATACAAAGTCTGACGTAAGATTCCGTACATCAGGAAAGTTTCGTAAAGCGTTGTTTCGACCGGCATCTGGTCTGCTTATCACGTCTATATAAACCCGTGAATTCAAAAACCCACTGTAATTTTATGACGTCAGGAGTCAAGTATCGGATCTATTGTCGTCGTGGGCGGTTAAGCTAATTCAAACGAACGGAGTGTTTACTCAGGGCGGATTTTTGGGCATGCATCAACAGCTTCCAGGATTGGCAATCCCCCAGAAGTCGTGGCTCACTCCGCAAGATGGAGTCACATGGTCCAGGTTACCGAGTCGGAAACTTAAACGAGCTGACTACCTCGTGGGCGGTGGACTTTTCACCTCGGAGTGACCAGGCCCGGAATCGATCGGTGGAACCACTGAGTCCTCTTTAGTCACCGATTTTGCGGGTATTGCAAGTAACGAGACCAATCACTGCCAACGTGTGCAGTGGCGACTTGTGCGCAGTTTTTTTGCAGTTTGTTTCTCAGCATCTTTCACGCTCATCGCATTCCAAGGGGGAGATAACATTAAGCCGACTAGGGATGGATGCGGGTATAGTAACTGTACCCAAAATGGTCCTCTAGGAATGTGCTGCACAAAACCTGGTTGATATTGCCGACAGAAGCGAATAGCCGAGTTTAAAGAAGCAGTTCAGAAGAAGATGCGATCGTTGAAACAAAAAGCTTATTAGCCTGACGGTCCAAATTCCCACTCGAACCCATTATCAGAGACAGTCGCAGATAATGAGTCCATATCTTATCTGCGTCCGTCTGGGGTAATGGATTCGAGTGGAAATCCGAAACTTCGGGCAGATAGACTTCTTGTTTTGACGATTGCATCTTCTTCTGATTGATATATCTACACGTACCAGGAGGGTCTTGGATCCCACATAATCTAGAGTGCCGCAGGTGTCGACTTAAAAGGATCTATCGCGGTCCGACTGATGTTCTAGCGGAGGTACGGGTACAACAGCGAGGAATATGTTAACTTTTACGGGGAATAAAACCTCAGAATTACACCCACTCTTTGTTTCCTCTCGAACGCACCGATGTTTTGGCCGCAACGGTTGACGTGGCGAAAGTCTCCGTCCAAGGTGTGCCACACACATGCACATCAATATCTGAAGCCTATTAACCAGTGATACTTCCATGCCACTTCCATTTTTTGCAACATGACTGCGTTGCAGTTGAATTCTAGGGTTGACCTGTGTGCTTTTTTCAGATATTCTGATATGGAAGTACCCACTTGAAAGCACTTGGGGAACGCTGGAGAGCTCACTGATGAGCCAAATTCTTCGCATCCGTCATGCAGCGGTAGAATATTGGCAAAATACGTGTCTGCACCTTTAGCTAGCACCTGTGCCGTCAGTATGTAAATCATGCCAGATATATGGAACTTCTGGAATCATGTGATACCCAGATAAGGACACCCGTTGCATATCTGCAACGCTGGGATGATAAGAAATGGATACTAACCGAGACTTAACACAGTCTGACTAACGCATTCAGTGAGCTGCTGTGACCCACCGTAACAGGGCCTACATCTAGCGCTGACAGAGGAGGTCGCGAATACTATTTCATTGTATGTGCTGACGGATTCAAACGCGAATATTATAGGCCAGGGAACCCTTCTTCATGCTGAGCCAATTAGATCTTTGCACCGCTTTTTAATTTCCTTTAACAGGTTGGTCGCATTGAAAAGAAGACACTCCTGTCTCTTAATTCTGCGGCAGTTTCTGTTTATACAGTAATAGCTGCAGGCGCCCATTCGTTCCTCAGTTTAACCACTCAAATACCTCCTCTACAACTGAGATCTGGTTTACACATAGTTATCATCTTTTCATACTGATTCCTTAAAGAGATTCTTGGAAAGGAGGACACCGACGACGGCGAATAAGCAGAAGAACTTTTGTAATAAGGTGCTCAGAATACTGGGGGGGGGTCTCTTTGAAAAAGTGAGATGAGAATCCAACAAACCTCGAAGACTCTTTTGGAAATATTGCGGCCCACTTAGATGCCCATCATCAATGTGCTGGTCCACTCGACACCAAAAATCGTGTTCGTTGAAGAGACATCCTATGAGGTACAAGAAATATCACAACTCGTTAAGGTCTGTTTCGGTAGAAGCGAGCGTGGTATCTTCCACGGTCATAAAGCTCTTGTTTCTCTACTTATATCTTTTTTTCAAAAGATCGTTATAACAAGTTCTAGACTGCCTTACCTACCTTACTTAAATGTTTTTCATGGTAATCGCATGGCAGTTGGATGTCCTCATATGATAAAATATCTGAGACAGTTCAATGGCAAAAACGTTCGTCCTGCCAAAATGTCATTTTTGGGTTATTTTCGTAACTTATATACCTAAATATTCCCTCTAGGTCCATATTTATAGCCCGAAAATCAAAAATAAGATGGGATCATTAACTTTCTATAAGACTTTATTTTTTGAAGTTAGTGGATCTAAAAACACACAGTCAACCACCATTCCTAGGACGGAGCTAGGGTTGTCCTTACAAATCTAAATCTAGCTCTGGCAACCTGTAAATGCTTGGTTCTTGGGCCGCACACGCCTCCGGCGCGGACAGTCAACTGTGCCCTCCTCCTTAGCCGGATTCATTTATAATCTCCTTCATCTTCACGTGTATCGTGCTTTTTGCAGGGCTGGTGTGACAAATAGGTATAGCATTTTGATTGTAACCGCACTGGAGACTGAATCACTATCAGCCACCTTGAGACATCTAAAATTAGACTTAGAGGAAACTGCTGCGCTTTCTTTAATCCGAGGCAGGCAGTCAGGCGTAGTGATTGAAAGCACTCTCCTGGAACGAAATGTCAGTAAATGAGCCCATACCGTTACGATCTTGTGTAAAAAAGACTGGACTGATTCTGCCCCTGTAAGGCAACTAGTACTTTGCTCAGCAAACAAACGGGATGAAGGACCAGTGCATGTAGTTATGGCTGCTTAAGATGACAGAAATGATTTGGTGACAATATCGGCGAGCCCGACTGCTGAGCCGTTATCACGCCAACCACTAAAATCAGTGGTGAAACCGTGGGAACTAGTGATCTGGATGCGGCCGATCAGGCAATCAGCACGTCAAGTACGACCGTTTACGATGAAAGCGGGCTGTCATTATGTTGATAGATATTTGTGGTGGGACATAGGAATAGGGACCCCCTCCCCCAGCAATACTGTTGGCCTTGCGACAAATCCCCGACAGATTAAGGTTAGAGCAAGTGTTGAAGTTAGGGCTAGGACTCGGGAGTAGGTATCCTTCCGAGAATTTAACCCAAAACCACCTGTATTACGGAGTTTCCCATTCCCGTATCTTACTAGTATGCGATTGGGCAGTAGCTGCGTCCTGCAGGTACTGCACTCCTTGTGAAGCCCCTACCCTTACTTGCTTCTGTCTTTCGTAATGGGTCTGAGTTTGAGTACGAAATGCCAGGCGAATAAACTGCATGTTCAGGCAATTAAGTCTCCTTCTCCATTGCCATCTGGAACTCATTTTCGCTTGTGTCCGCGAGATATTGTCTTTAATGACTCCCTCAACAAGCGGATTTCTATAGTATTAAAAATGCTCAGGACTTATTGCGCCAGAAGTTCCAATCACCCTAAATACTCCTCAGTTTTCCAAGGTTCACTGTCATCTCGTTATTAACGAGGCTACTACAGACAGGATTGTGAAATCTACTTAGGAACACGCTACTAGATTACAATGAAGTCTTGGATTTTTAAGGCCAATGTGGTTGTACGTATTCTTCACATCAACACGAAAACGCTCCTACTGGGTTATTTTCGCATGTGTATAATGCAGGGAGGGCACGTTTTTATTAATCATCGGTCTTTTAAGAAAAGCCGTGGTCGGGGCAACCGATGTTCTAGTAGGCATATATGGCCGTTTAATATGTAGGTTATTGACATGTGGTATCGTGGATGTAGTTTGTAGATGTGATTGCCGTTGACACCACCAAGTGATTCTTCCCTGTCACTGTTGCGCTGGCTCCCTAGGAATTTACCAGTCAACACGAAATGCAACGGCTTGGTGAACAGTAGCAGACTACAAGTATTTATTACGCCATTTCGAATAGATGACAAAACCCCAGCCCTCCCATGCTGCACTTACAGTATTTATCCTAACTCGTAAAACGTGATAACGAGAATCCAGAGGATCACTTCAGGCCACCTTAAACCTTGTCAACTTTGCGTACTCCCCAACCCCTTCCGAACAATGTTTTTTGTGTGCACAATATTTTCTAAGTAATTGTATCAGACAAACTGTTTAAAAACATGTGCCGAAATCTACGTTACCTCATCTTCGGGCAATCCCCTACGTTAATAGTCGTCCTAGACCAAGGTTGCGCATACACACGTGCTTTTCTAAGAGAGGACACTAATCTAAACTTGCTCACTTAAAAATATATTTTTGTTCCACGTAAATCAGGTGAAGGAGGGTGTAAAAAGCAGTTTATTTTTAGAAAACCAAGCGTCCAATCAATTTGAAGAGATCAAGTTTTTGAATCTGAATCTGTGAAATCAAGCGGAATCGTTCTTGCCTTCATTAATCTCATCTCAAACAATGTACAATGACAAAAAAATCATCAAATTCTCTTAAAATCGTTTTGGAATCGACGCTTAAACTAAAGGTTGTTAGTCAACCTCCTTACTCGATATTACATTAATTCTGGGAGTAAATTTTAGCAAAAACTGCATCACAATACCATTTTCAAATGTCCTATATGTGTTGTGTAATTTGCATAGACAGATTTCATGTCTCTCTAACAGTTTAGGTTTACTCATTTGACATGATTTTTTAACGTTTTCGGCATTTCTGTCTTCCTAAAAATAACATTATATTGCTTTTGCTACCCTGTGTTTTCATTTTACTTGAAGTCGTTCATTATTAACTGGAATTTTTGGTTAATACATTTGAGTCGGTTTCCGAGTGGTTAAAGATGTTTTGTAAATCTGGGCACATTTCATGTGTTAGGTCATGCACTGTATTTTCCAGAAGAAGTTGGACGCCCCTGCAGGCAAGATAATTGAGGCAGATAGCGCCGAATTTGGTGACTGGGCGCAACCTACAGGCTCCCTAAAGTCGGCCTTTCGGAACATTCCCATACTGCGTGACTGGACCCCTGGTCGTGCACCCATCATCGCCCTCGTTTGCTACGTCTTCTGTGCCCTCGGATTGGCGGCCTTCGCCCTTGTTGGTACGGAAAAGTTGATTCAGTTGAGGTGGTGGGCCATCCTCCTCGCCCTCCTTTTCCTCCTGATTGCGATAGTCTGTCTCCTGATCATGTTCATGCACAACCAGGACAAGAGTTTCGACACATTCAAGGTGGGTTTCTCACTTTGATTAACCGCAAGCCTATCCGCCATACTCTTCAGTCTTCACCAATCCTATTTTACAACAAATGTTCACTCCGGCTGCCGCTACGTTCCATAAAATTCATTCATATTAGAGTAATTGTTATTACGAAAGGAATAATGATCAGATCTTTGCGAACTCCGCATCAGCAGTAGTCCCTGTGTGGCTGTCTGCGGGTGCTCTAGATTAGACCTGAAGGGGCAGCATGACGAGCATGTCCCGTGATCTGATCGGCGACTGTCCTCTCTAACCCTCCCAAAAGAGGCACACGAGAGATACATTGGAGCAAAACGGAGGCCAGATTAAAGCAAAGTACGCGTTAGCCGGACTGCTACGAATGGGGGTTGTGATGGCACGCCCTGGCGCGGGCTCACGCCACCCCAACCACTTGCGTCCAGTCCCAGTGCTAGATGGCTGGCCGGATCGGCCAGTGGACTGGTGGACGGCAGAGGGAAGCGAGAGTGAGGTCGACTCGGGGAACCACGTCCTCATGACACTGCAGGACATTTTCCTATTATAAACGATTCTACGCGCTTTTCAACTATTAGGATGCGCTAACCGTCGTGGTTTGAAAGGTTGTCAACCGATTGGGATAATTCGGTCCTATGTGTATATGTGTGGAGTGGCTGGCGCTCGGACTAGGAGTCAAGCTCAACGACCCACCTTAATGGGGCCTCTGCGACACTCCCACAAACGTAAGATCCAGACCACCCAGTTCCGCGAAAACCCGGCTCATTGTATGTCGAGCAAGTCGTGTGTGGCACGCGTAGTCGTCCTGCTTAGTTTTGTCAGCCACTGGCCGGATTCCGTCTCCGGTCTTCTTGACTTCCCTTCTTACCGAGTCCAGATGGCTAACGAAGGTGAGAGTGAGGCGGTCGTCGCGCATGTCTGGGCTAATTCACGTGAAGGTCACCGTTCTGCGTCCACCATGCTGTGGGACACACGGCGGACATGGGGAAAAGTGTGGGAACGGCGCCATTTCCTTAGGAAGTGACATAGATCTCTGGAGAGAGTACGCAGTTTGTCCGATATCTACTTTCTTCTTACACTCATTTACAAATATTCCTAGAGTATACTAAAGAAAATACGCAAAATAAATATTCACCATTGCTATAGAGCTTCAAATTTTCGTTTTAGGTCCCTTTCGTGCCCGTTGTGCCCTGTTTATGCATCTTCCTCAATATGTGTCTCATCGTGAAACTTTCTCCCCTGACTTGGGTTCGCTTCTTCGTTTGGCTAATTGTTGGTAAGTCAGGGTTAAATGATTGATTTCAAACATTTTTCTGAGTCTTTGCTGGAAACCGCCTGGAGTACCAGTACCTAATAAGTTTGCGCTGCCTTGCACCGTAGGAACCGCGAAGTAGAATTACGGACGTGCAACCTCACTTAGTCGTTACTTCTTGCAGTATCTACTAAGATCCTTTGGGTAGTGACATTAGTTTTGGTGTCTCGTGGAAAAACAGTATGCAGCAAGAGGACGTGCACTGCACCATCCTCCCTCCCTTCTCCCCTTCCCATTCTTGGTCAGGATGTGTAACAAGCTTTAAAAAGATCACCACAGAATGAGTCACACTGAAAATTCGAGCGGTGTTACTCTCGGGGAGACTTTTGAGGAGAGTCTGAAGTACCCTAACATCTGGAAGCAGACGAATCCTATTCGCTTTCTCTCTTCTCACGCAATGCCGTTACTGGTTCTCTATGCTTATTTCCAACTAGGTTGACTGCGTCTTAAGTTACCTCAATTTTCAGCCTTATTAGAATCTTATAATTGGGCAGGGATTAAGTATATGCGTGCGGTAAGAAAATGCCAACTGTTATCTAACAAATCCACCAACATCTTAAGACTCCTACCTTACTGGCAGACGTATGCATTCCACCTTCAATTATTTCGGATATTTTTCTACCACCTCACTGCTCTCCGCGCTGAACTTTTTTAAATTGAGCTTTCCGTGTGAGTTTGCGTGTGAGGTGTGCAAAACCATCGACCAATGTAAACATTTCATCAGTACCGGCTCCTCGGGGCGGTACGGGTCAGCGAATGTCATCCTGCCGACGAAGGACCGACCAAAAACCCTGCAGAACAACACCTTCTTTAAAAAATATAGTGGACAATTCTCTGAAGTTTTTCCTTACCCCGCGCATATACTTGATCCTTACCTATTATTGCTGCAAAAATCCAGTTCGTCCTATTCAACAGGTGTGAATTAGTATAGCATTGCATTCATTAAGCCTTCCATTTGTCAAAGCGACTCAGTACACGCACTTCCTCTTGGCCGCCTGTAACATCAAATAGTACAGCTTATGCACCCAGAATCGATCCGTATTCCGCCAAAGGCAAAACTGTGATACCTCCGTTTAAACGATTGCCGATTAAAGGGTAGAGCGTAACTGACGAGCATTTAGTATGCCTTTCGAGGGAATGAGGTTTTAAAAGAAAGAGCCGCATATTCTCCCATTGTTGAGCTTTCCGTTTCGAGAGATCTGATGGATTGTTGGCAGCTGTTTTTCAACAAGTGCTTCATTTGTATATCTTATTTCTTCCAGCGAGATGCATCTTAACGTAACGCTTTAAACTGCGTCTTTTTCAAGGCTTGCTGATCTACTTCAGTTACGGATGGTGGCATAGCAGGGAAGCAGATGGTTCTGGCGAATCCGATCTCCTTTTGACCTACAAGACAGTGGATACTGAAAGCACGGAAGCAGAACAGCCAACCCCAATTCCACCGGCACCATAGGTTGTCGTGCCATTGATTAAGTTAATCAGGAAGTATTTCACCACTTCCGACCCTTTGAGCGTTACGTTCACAGTTGTCTGTCTTTTGACTTGTTTCAAAGGCTGTCGTTTTTGTCCAACTTGTCTTTTTGCAGCGCGTTTCCAGGAGTTTCATCCTTTTGCCTTTTATTCTACTATTTAAACAGTCTTCTATCCATTACGTGCGGCTTCTGCCTTCCAGACAAGTTAGTCTTTTTTTGCGGATCCACACTTATCACACTAACAGTTTTTTTGCTTCGTTGTTCGTTAGTGCAATCGGTTTACTGAAAAAGTACCTAATGATACCAACTTTTGTCTTGAGAATAGTTTCGGTAAGTGCACGATTAACCCTTATTCAAAGTCTAGTCTATCTGAGATCCAATGCAGACAAACGTTGTGGATTTTTTTAGGAAATTCAAGAAGAATTAATGAGATAAACCTACCACCTTCCCTCTCCTCAGGAATTCTCTTGAGTTTTTGCCGAGTTTGAGACAGGTATAAGAACTGGGGCTATGGTTAGGTAAAGGGTTAAAGTTGATTGCTAGATTTATGGTTATCTTCTGAGTCAGGATTAGGCATTCAATTTAGGGTTTGAGCAAGCCTTGGTGTTAGAGCTACGCTTAGACTATGTTATCGGCTTCAATCTTCTAAACAGCTCGCCTATGCATACCTCACACCTGTTCCGCACACACGGCGGGCTGGGTTCTCACACGAACAAAGGGGAGGTTGCTCGCATCCCAACTGAGTGGTAGTGTCATATAGGTCACATTAAGAATAAGTTATTGCGGTCGGACTCTCTTTTTGAGAGGAGGACCAAATTATATCGTCTGTTGGCAGCCTTCCATGCCACAGCTTTTAGTGCACCGCTATAGATTCGAGCGGGTCAGATTGTTTAGATTAAGAAATATGGGCTGAGAGTCAGCCTCATTCTTCCCTACCTCAGGCACCAGTCCACTGTCCGAACCGGTCAGTCAACTGATACGGGGATTGGACGCGGTGGCTGACAAAGCTAGACAGCCTGACTGTCCGTGCCACCCACGCGATCTGGCCCGCCACACAACACACTATGTTCCCGCACATATCGTGGTGGGCGTCTTGGGGCTCACGAGCATGAGAGTACCATAGGCGCCACATTAAGACGGAGCGATTGAGCCTGACCCTCAGCCCATCAGCCGGCCACTTCACGGAAGCGTACACTAGACTGATCGCGTGGTCTGATTTGAACCGGCCATGTAGTTGGGTGACAACAGCCAATCCGCTTCCAGAATTTTGCGGGCAGTTTGAATTTTTTGTCTGTCTCGACCTACAGAATCTCTTGCCTCTTCATCCCTATCCGCTGAACTTCTTAAATCATTTTTTTCATTTTTTTATATTAACCAGTCGATTTGCGCGATATAAAGAGTTTTTCCCATCCGGATTGGTGCGGCCTTGATCCGTGTGATAGGTGCAATCTTTGCTGTCATATTAAGTGCGCCGAAGTACAGTTAATAACCTAAACCATGAAATGCGTCGAAATTTACGAATGACTGCCAATCACTCGCAAACCAACACCATTTCATGAGCTCGATTTCTATGTTAATTAGCTAGAAGTTTAGAAGAAAGCATAGAAGAATTGTCAAATGCAGTGTTGCGTTACTTAAAAATGCCGATTTCTTTTGAAAAGCGCAATATCCCGAAAACGTCAGAAATGGCTCTTATTAAGTAAAATTCGCTGTTAGGTGTACAGAATATGTTATCATTGCCAAAAACATAGTAAATATGAAAATAGGCATATAATAACATCTAGTAATAGAGTGTTAGTGAAATTTACAACTAAATATCGTTTAATAAGTAGTGTGATTTCATATACGACGGTTTGTCCACTGCCTACATTCTGAGCACAGATTCCAAAACAGTTTCCAGTGAGTCCTTCTTTTTTATTTGTTTGAAGTAAATGAGATTGGGTTCAACAAGAGACGCTGGATTTTGCTTGATTTTACCGCTGGGGACGTCAGAGGAACACAATCTTTCATAGGGTGGCATGCTATGATGCCGGTCGGTGCCTAATAAATTTAAATAGAACTGACAGGCGTGATCGTAAACATACCATTTTGTGTTTACAGAGATAGATTTTCTTCCGTTAAATTAATTTACACTTTTCGTTCTTAAATTAACCTTTGTGTTAGCAGGTTGATCGACATGGTTAACATTGGACTTAAAATAAAATTTCAAGTTCGGCTAAATCTTTTTATAAAAACTCTCGCGGGTAACTTAGTATCCTTTCAATGAAAAAAGTCGCTCAGATGCGTAACCGGAGTCTAAGACATGTATTAGCGTAGGAAACTACACGACCATATTCCAAAGTCCATTTTCGCTAAAATTTACTGATATTTTACTTGATATAATTACCTAAACACAATTTCTGCACAAGAAAAGGACATTTTATTGAAGGAAGTGGATGAGCGAACCAAATGCTCAACGTTAAAGGCGTCCAGAAATTCCCTCAGTAGTTTCCGTTTTCAGATTTTATGAGATAGGTCACGTACTGTAAGTACTGTATAAGCCCCGTCAGCGATTCAGGTGTGTCTCGAAGCGGTTTTTTCAACAGTTGCCTGAATGGGGTGTATTTGACAAGGTTGCTAGCGTAAGGATGCAGGTCACGGCAACAGGTCAAATCGTTATCTGTCTGTTAAGCTAAATGTGATTCAGGAACAAGAGTGATAAACGTAGCATTGGACGTCTGATCAAGTTTATGAGAATTTCAGCAAGGAAGATGATTGGTAGCTGAATGTTCGTAGCACACAGAAAGTTAACCCAGCGCAGTCTCACGTTTAGGCAGAAGGCCTGACGATCGTGAGGAACTCCTAAGCGGACTTTTAGAAACTGTCGAAATTGAAGGCGGCATGTTTACACCAATCGCGGCTCAGTCTAGGAAGAATATTCCGTTAACCAGGAAGGGCAGGCGTAGTGAGCAGCACGTGCTTATCTTTGAGCTTTCAGAACTGCAGTTCTGCAAGGCTCCCAGACGCGAATAAGCAGACAGGGTATCCACGAAGAGGATATCTGACTATCTAGTCGACACCAAGCTCATAAGACTGATTCGCCGTACAGCTATTACTATGAATTTGAAAATGGGCATCCCAAAAAGCATAATTCTAAAGAAATAAGTTCTTTGGGAAAGATGACACAAGTTATTTGCAGATTCTCGACTTTGGTTGCCCACGTCGTCATCAGACGTGAAGCAAGTGTGCAAAACAGTCAACATTTAAACATGTCTGAAAATCAATGCTGTCCAGCCTTTACTCTGGGGCTGGCAGCATGTTCTGATTGACTAACGCCTTTGCCACTTTTCCTTGAGGTTGTTGTACACAGCATCTAATTTTATGTGTCGATTGATGCATAAGTTATCAGAATGAATGGCCTCTAAAAATTCGCGACCCTTAGATGAGCAGGCACCTATGATACGAGTCTTATTCCACGTAAATTTATGTCCGGTTTCCAGCATATGCATGGCACCCCGGGACAAGTGGTCTCACCTTCTTACTGCCAATTGATATTCATGTATACGTGTAGAGGCGGATTCCCTGTTTGACCACAATAGACCGCATTACAAGTGTCGCACGGTATCTTATAGACGACTTCCTTTTTGTCCAAATAACCAACCCTATCCTTAGGGTGTACAAGCTGGTTGCGAAGTGTACTAGTTGGTTTGTGCGCCAGGTGTATTTGGTGCTTCTCGAGTGTCTTTCAAATAGTTCGGACACATTCTTAATATACGGAAATGTCCGCCGGTCTTTTGGTTTGGAGGCCTGATCGCAACAATAAAGTTTCTTGTTTTTTTCTTTTAACTCCTGTTGTCTCATGAGTCGTGCTATTACTATCTAAAACGGCATACGATGCTCAGGGCAGCTATAAGTTAATAGAAAAATAATTGTTTCGCGAAACGACCCTCGGCAGACGAGCTTTCAGGTTCAAGGTATGGATTTCTGCTTACATTGGTCAGCATTGGACTGGAAATCATGTCAGATGTAATATTAGTCATGGAAAATCCTGTGTCCATAAAACGATTACACAGTCTGCGGGTGCTTGTTCGTAGATAATGCAGCAGACAGTATTGTCTGCCGTCAGTTCTGATGCCAATCATGATGAGAATGACAATTAAAGTCTAGGCTCTGATGCGGCGGCGTCCGGTCTAATTCCGAAGACAAAATGTGAGATTTCGTCAGTGATGGACCAAAAATATAGCGTCGCTATATCGGCAAGCACTGGAAAACAATATATTAGTGTGCTCAGGAAGACGGTGGTGCCTAAACCACTGTGCAGTAAGACTTACCAAGTCAGTAGACAAAACCATTTATTGTTGACCGTAACCGTCTGCGCTACTTCCCACATAGATGCAGACGTATAAGCCCCAGTCAATATGGGTTCTTTCAGGGACATTCATGCCCGGGGAACCCCTCACAAAACAGAGAATTTGCGCAGGAAGTTATGCAATAGAGGTGTTGGTGTAGTGATTCTAGACTTCAACAACGCTCTCGACATAGTTGACCACCGACTACCAATGATGAGACCTTTTAAAAACGTTCTAACTGGAAATATAAGTAAGTCGACTTAGTGTTTAAAAACACGGAGCCTTCGATGGACGCTTTCGGAATCTCAGGGGTTACATCCGATGGTTTGTCTGTCCATGACAGTGCTCTGATGGAGCTAAGCCAAGGAAGTTATTATTTCCCACTTACACTTACAATCTAATAGAAGTATTGCTCAAAATCCGCTTATCCATAAGTTATTTTAAACTTTTAGGCTAGACATATGACAGTACACCCACCAAATAGCGCTTTGTTCAAGTGTCCGTGTTGATCGGCCAGTGTCTTCTAACAAGACATGCTCAGAAAGCTCAGGTGATCTTAAGTAATCCAGAGTTAAACTTTGGAATTAGTTTGCTCAAAGTATCAGAGGATAGACATTAAACGAGCCGGACCTGTTACCCACCTAACAATTCCT